AGCATTAAATCACCTTACGCCAAAGCAATACTGGACCAAATAATACACAAGTACATACAGTGTATATGTATAATGTACATGTACATAATATTGCATATAATAAAAAATACTGTATGTTTTTACCATACATGTACATGTACATGTATATGTAACTCAGTGATATGTGCTATGTAAGTTCATTATAAATGTATGTACATGTATGTTTACAATAATTATTTTCACTTAGATTAATTATGTGTTACCGGTATATACTATAGGAGACACAAGTATTTGACTGATATATTACCTCAAGCTGATGATATTTCACTTGATTTACTCAACAAGTTGCTAAATTTCAATCGTAACAAGAGATTGACTGCTGAAAATTGTCTAGAGCATCCTTACCTATCAAAGTACACTAGTAGATATGTACATGTACTTTTTAGTGATTCAGAGGAAGATGGAAAAGAGAGGGAGAGAGAGAGAGGGAGGGAGGGAGAAAGTAAGAATGAAAAAGAGAGAGTCAAATGTGTGTGTGTATTTCAATCTACAGGTGTATGTAAGATAATGTAATTGCCATAAAATTTAACAGTGAAATTGACAGTGTTTTTGTGTGTGCATATACATGTAAGCAAGAGTGTTATAAAGATGGTTTTGATGTATATTTTTTAATTTTACATCAATAGGTTTCATGATTCTGACAAGGAGCCAGTCATTTGGTATCAAATAGTACCAGTGATTGATGATAATGTACAACTAACAGCTCACGAATATAGAGAACAACTGTACAAGGTAGCTATACATGTACATGTACATACATGTACATGTACATGTATGTACATATTGCATAATAATAATACACACACACACACACGCACACACACACACGCACACCTAACTGGTATAATAACAGCTAGCAATATCTGTTAGTGTACAGTACATTAACTACACACATGCATGTACAGTGTGAAGTATACATTTATACTGGTACACATAAGACTGTGTGAATACTTTGCATATGTCTCATTGTATCTACACTCATGACATGATCAGTATGGCACACACTAACAGCCCTATTGTTGACCTATTGGTAAAGATAATACACAAAAAATGCTATGAATAATTCAAAATTACTTTTTACCCTCCAATACATGTACATGTAAGTACATTCAAAATAACTATAAAGCACACATACATTATACATGTACATATACATACATATAAAGCACACATACATTATACATGTACATATATACATGTACATGTATAATTAATATGTGTATATTATATGTATGTATATACGCATACATATGCACATACATACATGTACATGTATACATTGTACAACTAATAATGCTGTACACTTACATGTGTACAATGTACAATCATTAACTTGTTCCTTGTAGGATATAGTATTGAGACACACTGAGCTTCACCCACAATCACCTAAACCAGCCTCACCAGCTCCTCCACCAAACCCTGACGTATTAGTTGAGGACTGTGAACTGGAGAGCTGTATATCGGACCACAGTCTAGTGCAATCAGAGAGAGGAAAGAAAGAAAAGAAGTTAAAAGAAGTAGGAGGAGGGTATGTGTCTCATTCTTCTCCTTCTCTGCCTGCTAAGAAGACAAGTGATGATTCTGAAGGAGGTGGTGGAGCTGAAGTGAAGCCAAGAGCTTTTATACCTTTCATGAATCGAAGTAAATCAGCAGCAGTACAGGCTAGAGGAGGAATAATGGTAAGGAGAGGAACTGTAATGTAAATGAATGGTTATACATGTAGTTATACACTGTTAAATATACAATGTACATGTACCTTATTTCTGAATGGTATGTAAATGTACAGTAATCTAGCAATTCTCTAATATACATATGTATGGACTATAGAATACTTTAATTGTGTTTATAGCTATTAGTGACAAGTATTCTATGTGCTTTGTATAAATGATACTGTACTAGTTACATGTACATGAAAAACGAAATGAATTATGTACATGTACATGTACATGCATGTAAAGGTATGGTAATAGGTAATAATGATACTACATGTACATGTATGGTATTTAACGTGTTATACTTCATTGCATGATTTCCGTATTTCCTCGAATAGAAGCCGCCCTTCGAATAGTAGCTGCATCCAAATAGTAGCCCCCTCTGTGCTTGCACTATTGTAATAGTAGCCGCCCTCTAAGAGAAGCCGCAGTTAATTAAAATTTAATTAATTAATGTGCCACATGTGCTCGTTCAAGTGCTTGTTGTTGTTCTCCGGCAAGACCTATAGTTTCTCTCCTATTACTGGATTCCATATTGCCTTGTAAACATGGTGGCCTCTGACAACACTATCGATTTCCATGTCTCCCAATGTTTAGCTCTAGTTTGCTCAATTTTTACACAATGGTACGCACTCATGGTGAGTGATGGGTGCGGTCACGTGCAGGCGTGACTGGCCACGTGTTTGCTAGGAGAGAAATAGTAGCCACCCTCAAATAGTAGCCCCCGTCAACTTGAGCTGAAATTTATAGTAGCCATGGCTAGTAATCGAGGAAATACGGTAGTGATGCTCTTTAAACAGTGGCAGCTAATAACATTAATTAGTGCAGCATACCATAAAGCATTATTAACAAGGTGGAGTACCTTGTGTATTATAAAAGCACTATAATGTACATGTAGGTATACATGTACATGTGTTAGTACGTTAATTATGTGTTAGTGTTGTTTATATAATACCATTCGTTTCTTAATCACTCATTATTATTATGAGGAAATGTTGTCATTCCTTGTGGCTGAGGCTTATGAAATATTTTAATTTTAATTAACCTGTTTAGTGTGATTTGATTAAGAACTGATAAGATAACTGACACTGATAAAGCACTAGTATGTACATGTACATGTATTCAGCACTACAGCTCCTGACTTACATTCATTATGTATATTTTATTTGTTCTACATGTACTTAATGCTACATTTCTTATGTTTTATCTTACATGCAATATGCCATGTTAGTTTTATTACTATCAATGAACATTCTTTTTGTAAAAAAACATGCTACCATCATGTACATGATAAAATTCAAAGGCAAAATACACATGTATCTATAACCATGTACATGTACATGTATGTATGTATGTACATGTACAGTACCGTATAGCCCCAAATTTTCAATGGGTCCAAATTTTTGTCAAATTTGTCAGGTATTTTTGCTTGACGAAATTTTTGTTCCACGTGGGTAGGATTGTAATAACAAAATGACAAAAATTTTATTGATGAAAATGAGAAAATTGAGATTTTGACGAAATTTTTGACTGACAAAAATTTGGAGCTATACGGTACATGCATAACTACGTTCCTCCTTTTCATTCTCTAGCCTCATCCCAGTACTCCCCTTCAGGCTCACTCAAGGACTACAGTACAGCCGTTATCATGAGCGAGGAAGGGTGTGCCTCAGCTAGTCACATGACAACAAAGAAACCAGTCCCTCCTCCTCCTCCTCCCCCTCCCCCTCACTCTACCCATGGGAAGCCAATAGACCTCACTGTCACCAGTGCTAGAATTGTAAGCATCAATCACAATAATTATCGACGCTTTTAATAAAATACCATAGTACAGGGACATTGGCCTGATTTTTCACTTTAAAAATTTGTAAGACAACATAAGTACATGCATATGCATAAAAAAATTATAGAAGTAGAAATTTCTCTTCTTTTCAATTTTGGCAAAATTTGGATAACACCCCTTGTACAGGGACTTTTAGCTGATTTTGGAGCAACTTTTAAAAATTTGTAAAAAATTCAAATTTAATTGGAATCAGCTCAAACTTTCTACACAATTGTAAATGTATATACATCAGAAAAAAATTTTTAAATAGAGATTTTCTTTTTTTTAATTTTGGCAAAATTTTTCTCAAGACAGGACTTAGTGCAGGGACTTTTACTAGATTTCCAAGTAACTTTAAAAATTCATAAAAAGCAAAATACACATGTAGCTTTTATCAGAAAATTATATGTACTGTATGTGTATTCTATAGAAATCGTGTACTTCAACAATAATGTGCGTTTTAATTAGGTCCCAATATCTCGTCTACCTCCTCCTAGTCATCAATGGAAGGAAGTGAATAGAAGAGTATCAAGAGGAGGTTCCTCACACTATGCATTAGGGACCTACACACAGACTCATGCGGCGTCATACGTAGATCAGATTTAATGACAATAAAACAAAACAACTGGTGATGATACTAATGATTGATTATACACTGGCATACATGTACAGGCAAATTCTCTAAATTCATATTCTTGAAATAATAATTGCAAGAAATAATAATAGTAATAAATAATAATAATAATAATTGCAAGAAAAAACACTAAGACATGTACATGTACGTACACGTACATTATAGTGCTTTTATAATACACAAGATACAACCAACTAATAATTACTGTACTTATTGTTATAATGTTGGCAGTGATTGGATTTAATTTAGAAAGTGATATGGGTGTGGGTGATTATGAGTAATGAATATTGTTATTATGGGTGTGGCTGGTTAATTAACATTCTTGACAAACAATGTCTAAAGGTGAGTTTCTGTTTTCTTCCTCCTCTTTCTCATCATGTTTGTATTTTACAGGTATCTATCAACTGGGAGGGATATCTCTACACTCAGCTCCTGTAGTAGGAGAATCAGTGTTTTTGTGGGGAGGGGATAGGCATGACTTACCTAGAGTTCATGATTCCCCACAAAAGAGGAAATTGTTGTCCACCATTGATAGACTGGAGTTTAGGACTGGTCATTGGTCCTCTCACGCGACCAGAGGAATGTCACCTCCTCTAGGAGCTATTACATACTTCTGTACCATCAGAAACAATGACATCCTCTTTTTTGGTGGTTGGTGTGGACATGATATCTGCTATTATAATGACGTCAACTCATTTAACAGTCTAACATATGAATGGAGTAATATAGTACCAACCAGTGATGCTGTAATGAAGAGAGGGTTTGGTGGTATGGTGTGTATGGAGTCTATGGGTACAGAATACCTATTTATGATAGGAGGGGTTGGTTCTACACCTACTACATACCAATCACAGTATCAGTATATTCAGTTGGTTACTGGTCGTATTTGTACTAATGAACAAAATTTATTAAATTTATCAACAAGTAAGAATTTTATTAATTAATACATTATATTAACAATCTATACTCTGCTTGTGATGACATATTTTTCAATCATTATTCTTGTTACCATTTGCATATTAAGTAGACAGTTGGTTTGACTAACTAATTTTGAGTTACATAAACATGTATCTGTGAAAAGTTTAACAAACTTATCATTTTTCACCAACTGTGAATCATCAAAATTAATTTTCAGTCATTATTTCTTGCTATGCATGTATAAATGTATGTACATGATAATTACAGTTTCATACTTAATAATTCTGATTATACTACCATACAGGTAGTAAATTTTAAGGGTATAAAATTTTGTGTTTTAGTGAAAAGGTCTTAATTTTTTGATTTTGAGAGGGCGTATTTTACACATAGAGCTTCACTTGCTGTGTTTATCTGTGACAAAATGACAAATTTAACTTGGTTGTTTTCACCAAACTGTCATCCAGCAAAGTTAATTTGCAACCATTATTTTTGCTATGCATGTATACATGTACAATGTGTGTACATGTACATGATGCAGTGTCATACTTAATTCTAATTATACTATCTATTTCTATTTAGGACAATGGATTATTCCAACTATTAGTGGTCAGTGTTGTCCTCCTACTAGTACCTTTGCTATTCAAAAGATTACTAATAATAAAGCTGTCATGTTTGGTGGATCAGTGCCTAGTGATGATGGTTATGATATACTTGTTAATATAGTCTATACATGTGAACTGGAGTCTGATACTACAATAGTAAGTTATCTTATTACTGTATGGGATGTATTTATTGCATGGATCAATCATGTTTGGACATTAATACATGTACATACGGGTATAGCTTGTAATTTAAAAAATGTATTTAAATGAGTATTACATGTAGATTTGGTTTAATACCGTAAGCCAAAAAATTTCGTGAGGAATAAATTTTCGTATTTTCGTGATCACTGTTTGCATCATGAAAAATTAAACCGCCGGAAATAAATATTAATCGAGGGCGTAGTTAACCATACCTTGCTAATAAATGTGCCCTCGTGTCAAGTCGTGTTTTCAGTCAAGCTGATGTTTCTGTTACTCTGTATTGCTATTTTAAGCATACTGCCTAGGTCAAAGATGATGATCTCCCAAATCACTGCATGGTATCCACACTTCATGATTTGTAGATGTAGTGCCCCCTGAAACAAGAGTCCGTCTCGAACCATGCAAACATTGAATCTGCCATGTTTTAATTAATAAGGCATGGTCATTATTATTAATAAAATTATGAAAATATTTTTCACGGAATTTAAAATTTCTCCATAAATTTCATTATTCATGAAATTTTTGGCTATACGGTAATTTATTTTAATGGAAACTGTACAATTATCACTAGCATTAACATAATTAGGGCAATCCTGAGCTGGCCCCCCACTAAGGCGAGAAAACGTCTGTATGGCAAGTCGTCTAACTATTATTAAAGTTAAATAGCCTAATCTTCATTTAAAGCGGGTGTGGTCACAATGAATAAAATGGTGACTATCAGCAAGTCTGAGTTTATTTGCAGCAAACGGTCAGCAAGATACTAAACTGCTGTCTAAAAACTTTTCTAGCAAGAAAAAAGGTTATAAAAGCAGTTATACAGTCTTTTTCTTGGTATAAAGGACTCTGATAAGTTGAATGCATTAATGCAATTGAGAAAGCTCCATGGGATCTATTCTACATGTAGGTAATGTTTCTTCTCTAGCAGCAAGCCTAGGTTAACAAAGCATATATGCAATCTTCAAATATGATTTATTTAGCGACTGCTTATAACTATAAGTAAGATGTCTTTAATTTAAGTAAAATGACTGCAACAAGATACTGAATTTAGACATGTGCAATTGCTTTGCTAGCTCAGACATGTAGATCATACAGCACATAATCTATAGCTTGCTTAGGCTCACCCCTTTAATGTTCTACATTGTTAAGTATGATAGAGCAGTGTACATGCATTAATACATTTTATAATATTGATTAATTCATTTTATCTAGCACTGGGAGAGTGTTAAGGGACCAGTAGTACCTACTAGTGTACAGTGGCCTGTGGAGAGATGTTCTCATGCTATTACTAGTATCATCAGTGACTCACCTACACTAGTAATGATAGGTGGAGATGGTAATGATAATCAACTAGTAAATGATAGTTGGTTACTGAATACTAGTCAGTACCAGTGGAGTAAGGTATGGGTATAATGTTATTAGTTTAGAGTGTACATGTGTGTGGTACAGTGATTGTACAGTAGTTGTCATGTTAATGTATTGTATTGTATTAATACCTTAGAAATACTCACTGTGTGCATGTACAGTGCATGTACCTAATGCATGTACATGTATATTCCCTTGAATATTTGTAACATATTGTAAATACTGTTTACATGATAAAATATTACCATACATGTATTATTTGAACAGATTGTTCTACCTGAATCTGTTACTGGTAGACGGGCTCATTCCTTATCATCAATAATGATGAGTCCAGACTGTGTGTG